TTTTAGGTTGCAGCTGCTGTTTGCTTTCTGTAGCTCTGATACTTGGACAACATACGTACAGTATTTTATCATACATACATATTCTGGAGGGTGAGGTGAGGGTGAGCAACTACACTGCTAGATGCCACAAAATCCTGCACGCTGACTGGTCTCTGGTCCGGTCTTTATTAAACCCCAGTATTTATTAAATATTAGAGGAAATGCAGGAGCACTTCTTTACATGAAGTTCAGTGTACTCGTCACAAGGAATACTCGTCGTGTCTTCTGATAAAATAACCCTGATGATAATTTAGCGTGTTTTGGTTTGGGGTTTAGACTCGAAGCTTTTAACTGAAAGCCTATGTTACAAACAGGAAGTGGTAGGATCCAGCATTTTTGGAGCTTGACCCATACTGGAGACTAAATGTCAGGATATCTCAGCTTCGGCGACCCTTATTCGAGACTAAATGTCATGGTATTTTACCATCTGCTCCTTTGATCAGTCCCCCAATATTACGGTAGTGTAATACAAAAATTGCTGCAATATGCCCTGAATATTGTTGCTGCTTTCGTGAGACAGAAGCTCCCAACGAAAATACTGAATAGTGAGTTCTTTGTTGATATTCTGATGTTGAAACCTGCAGGTTTTGCATTCATACGGCTCTGAATGAAGATAAAATCATTCTCAGGTCAATGTGTGGTCATTTTTCCTTTGTTTTTATCTCTACCGTCTGAGATTTCCCGCAGGCTGTGATCAGTCTCTGGAGGCAAAGCATGAAGCATCTCACTGCTGCTGTTACTTATAGAGCAGAAAATGGATAGCTAGGAGTGTGTGTGAGTATGTGTGTGTGTGTGATTGTCAGACATAGTGTCGACTCTCTTGCCTGAGGCTGGCTGATTCCTCAACAGCTGAGTCTGATTATTGGAATAAAACACACACGCACAGACACACACATCAGAGCAGTGCTGCGAGCTGTGAGTCTGATTGATTGAGAGACACCAGGTGGTCGAGGTTAGGCGAGGACCACGGCAAGGAGAACAGAGGACATACACTCACACACACCACTCACACACACGTAGTATTTTGACATGACAGTGTGGCAGTTTGACTGATGTAGACTTGCTGTTATGGTATAGCTATTGTTTCTCTCCTGTAATCCAATGATGGGTTTTGATACGTCTCTTATAATGTCTTACAATTATATTACACATCTTATATTTTCTATTCTTACACTGTTGGCCTCTTCTGTGAGTCTGTGAGACCTCATAGCAATACACTCGCTGTTTGTCACTAGAAAGCTACATTTTCATATATTTAAGGAACAGTGTGGTTAAAAATATCACTCAAGCTTTCTCAGATTGGCTTCCCTTGTTTTATTTTCCATGTACTCCCACCTCTTTGTGACAGGAGTGTGTCTCTGTGAAACTCTGTAGTTCCATGTAGTAGATATCACGCAACCAACCTTGATCTTGGCTCTAACACTCTGAAGGGAAATGCTTGTGAAGCGTTTACCACAGGGGGGATACGGGTGAAAAATGTACAGGGATTTATAGAGGTAAAACATGGGTTTAGCTCATTTGCAACATTTAATATCACACCATAAACTGTCACTCATCTCAGACCAAATCATGTTGTTATTAGTACAGCTGTAAGCGAGATTGATAGCAGACTTTCAGTGTTGTTAAAGGGAAAATGTTGTTTTTTCTTGAGCTGCCAGTTTGCACCAACATTCAAAAATCATACAGGAAGCAATCAAACACAAAAAAGATACCATACCAGTTCAACTCAGAGTGTGTGTGTGTGTGCAGATAAATGAATGAAATGATTTAAAAAGACACAACCAGTCCATCATTTGCAGTTCATGGTGTCCATAATCCATTACAAGCCAGTAAATAGTTTAAAGGCTGAATGAGTAGGATTTATTGGTTGTGGTTTGCGAACATTGAAAGCTGGCCCCTCCTGCGCCGGCTCCACGACACCACCTTGGATGCGTGCTTACGATCTGGATCACACTGTTATTTTCTCTCCTGGATTAAGGGTGTTCCTATAGTTTGTAAATATGTTAGTTCATTTGACCTTCTCTTCCTACCCAGATCTCTGGATTAGTGTGTTCCTATGAGCTTATATGTAAATAGTTTTTTTGAGCTTGTAAATATTTAACTAGTTTGTTTGATCTCCTCCCTCCCTTGTAAAACTTTTTTACTTCAAATATAGTGTCTGTAGTGAGATTGTGAATATTTGGCTAAATAATAATAATAATGTTCATAGTGTCTGTAAGTTTCCATCGCCATATATCAAACAGAAACAGGTTTGCACTACAGACTGCAGTGAAGCATTAATTAATCAAACAGTAAGAAACAAACAAGAAATACCAACTCAACCGGTGACTAAAAGTTACTGAAAATAAAGTTATTAAACCATATCCAGTATGTAGAGTGCAAAAAAAAGAACGGTTGTAAAGTCTGGGGCAGTTGAAAGTAGAATTTGGAACAGTTGAGGGACGCTGAGGAAAAACGTTCGACACACATTTTCTACCTTGAGATTCTTTTAATGTATAAAGGGAGCTATATAAGTAAGGTGTATTATTATTATTACTTTATTGACATTAACATTTACAACTGAAAAGATTAGTCGACTAATGGATTAGTCCATTTTAACATTTTTCTACTATTTCATCGATGAATTAATCAAGGCAATAATTGGCAGATTAATCTTTAATAAAAATAATCATTAGTTGCAACTTTAATTACAGTATTGTTTTTTTATGTGTACAACTGATTTGTTTGCTTCCTTGACTGAATGGTACTGTGAGGAGAGCACCATTACATGGCTGCAAATAGTTGACAAATACAAATTCAGTTGGCCCATAAATTCAGCTGATTTTCCCGTTAGGTTTCACTTCTGTTGGGTTCCTCTGCAGTCCTCTATCTGCTTCATCACCAGATACACAGCACTGTAATGTTTTGCAGTTATTCTCTCCAGGGAAAGCGGCTAAGTGCACAACTACCCCTCCTCTCTCTGTCTTGCAGGGCACGCTGACATTTACTCGATATGGCTACGTTGTTTTTCAGGGGTTTAGGTATAGTGACAACTGTGAGCTTGGACTTTTGTTGCAGTGGGGAGGGAGAGAGAGGCCAGAAATGGGGTGGGATGAGACAAAAAGAGTGAAAGAGAAATCACATTTTCATTTTTAATCTTTTACTCTAAATCAGTCACATAATCATAAAAATCTTTCCATCCAGTCCTACTGAATGTAAACCTGCAATATACTCTAAGTACATAGCAAGCACACAAACATTTATTCTACCACTGTAAGCAACTTTGGAAAAGAGCACCAAATGGCATATTTTATGTCCTGTGGACACATCTGCTCTTTACTGGGAGAAACCATTGCATCTACTTTCCATCCATCCATCACGTGGGCAACACAAAGAGAAGATGGGGGAGGTAAAAACTAATATGACAGTGTCTGTTCACTAGTACTCAGATGATAGATATTTTTACAATGTGCATCTATCAAGGCTGACAAATATATTATGTGTCTTATGTGTATTATGTGTATGTGTTTTTATTCAAAATAAACTCATTGGCGACCTGTAAGGTGTCATAGAGAACAGTGTCTGTGGTCAGCTTAAATCCATGTGTCTTACATTGGATTCCTATACTGATGAGTTTTCACTGCGGGAAAAAAAGTATTAAAATATTTTAAAATTAACTTCTCACACAGCTCTTGCAGTATGATCCACCTTTCCACTGTCGATCTTTATGTTCCAAACACTCATATTTTGGCTAAAACATGCTGATAACTCTAATTTGGATATATACAATGATTATCGGATCAGTGAAATATTAGTAAGTAAATACTTATATATAAAAACATAGTATAGATCCTTTTAGCTACAGTCTGAGAAAAGGAATCAGGAGGTGTCCTCTGAAAAAACAGTTGGAGTTCCTATTTGGCAAAGGCTTTTCTAGCAGGAGCAGGAGCAGGACAAGGAGTTTAGATTTTCACCCAGTCTGCTGATTTTTGTGTGTGCTCTGAATTTTCAGATACCTCAAACAAAAGTGCTCAAAGCATATTGTTTACACCAGGGGCCCCATGCAGAAAGGATCCTGTCTTACCACAAAGAGTTAGTGAAATGTTATGAGATGCAATATTCACCAATACACAGGAGCGTGAGGAACAAAAATTAAATGATTAAATGAAGATAGATAGATATATATAGATAG